GCGGGCCAGACCCTGCAGCTTCTCAACTTCGGCGGTGTGGGACTCAAGTTCCTCTAGGAGTGCATGGTGCTGCTGGCGGTGCAGTTGGCCTCTGATGCGAGCCTGTAACTTGGTAATCTTGGGCTCGACACGGATGAGAGCGTCCTGATCAGCGGCAATACGGCGTCGCTCAAGCGTCCCGCGGGAGATGGATTGCAGATCGATGATAGCAGATTCGTGGCTGCTGAGCTCATCGAGCAATTGCGCGACATCACGCCGTACGGCCCCGGCACGGATGTGGGCTTGAAGGTTCTCGATTTCCGAGGCGTGTTGACCCAGTTCAGCCTTGGTGGCTGCGACGTCTGAGCGAACTGACTTGCCCCTGAACGCGGCTTGGAGCGCAGTCCACTGCGGTGCAAAGGCTTGGAGATGCTCTTGCTCCAGCGATATCTGGCTTCTAGTCAGCAAAGCCCGAGCAGCAGCCTGCAGGCTAGTAATGCTGTCGACTTGTCTGTCCAGGAGGTGGAGGTCATCAGAAACGCGTCCTCTCAACAGCATTCCGCGAACTGCCGCCTGGAGGTCTCGAACCTCTCCAGAAGTCTGAACAGTCTCTTGCTGCTGAGTAACGAGCTCCTTGCGGACCAAGAAGCCCCTAAACGCTGCTTGGATTTCTCGAACGGGGCCGGCATGCTGAACCAACTGAGATCTCTGGTCTCGTACCTCGTCGCGGACCTTCTTGGCCCGAATAAGACTTTGAAGCTCCAGGATGTCGGGCTCCAAACCTTTCCAGAAACGTTCTTTGTTGGCCATCCGGTTTCGAACGAGGAATCCGCGGGCAGTGCTTTGGAGATCGACGGCAAAACGTCTCATCTGAAGCCGGTAGCCGACGATTTGACGTGACCAATCAGCTCTGATACGAGATTGAAGATCGATGAGCATGTGCTCGGCGTCCCAAAGCTGCTGCATAGTGTCTCCCAGGCGCATCCTCACAACGGCACCGCGAACTTGAGCTTGGAGCTCCACAATGGACTCCTCGTTCTCTGCCAACTCGCGGTCGATCCTTTCGTCTTCAGTCTCCTCTGGCTCCGGGGTCGCAGGCTCCACACCAAAATCAGCTCCCATATTACCGAAAGTGGGCATATTAACCCCGAGTTTATCAAGGCCTTTCTGCATGGCCTCAAGCTCGTGGTGCTCAAACTCGAGCTGACCAACGAGGTTGCCGATGCGAAAGTCGACAATTCCTTTTCTGAATAGGAGCCAACTCAGAGCGTGGATACAGTAGATGACTTTAGGGATGTTTTTCTTCTCGTACAAGTCGATCAACTCGAATCTGAAGAGGTCAGGGAGCTCGACTTCATCGAGGTATCGAAAGAAAATGGCAATGTTGTCGGAATGTCGGAATTGCAGCTTTTGGTGCCTAAAGATACGGAACCGACGTTCAGGGTTGAGAGCTTCGACAACCTCTGCGAGTGTGACTCCATCTCGGAGAGCTTCTTCAAGCTCAACAATAGGAGGAATTGCCCTGTGAATAACGTCTTCAATCCACTCCTTTGCTTCACCAATATGGCAGAGATACTCGTAGGCCTGGAGAAACTGGCGTTGTTTGTCCATCCAATTTCTGCCTTCCCAGCCATAGCCACCGGCTCGTTGGCGATTGTTATTCGGCTGTTCAGCTCTCTGTAGTCTGCGGCGGCCCCTAAGTCCTACCACCTCCTGTGCTGGCGAAGTAATGGTGAAATCCTCAGCGGATTCGGACTGAGCGAGCTTGGACAGAGTACGGAGCTGGCTTGTTGATGAACGGCCAAGCTTTTCGAGATCCGGTCTGGCTAGTGCTGCCGAGTGGACGGGTGCCGGGGGTTCATGGGCGTGAGGAAGAGCGGCACTTCCTGCTCGAATGGTATCGGAACGGCTGAGCAACATCGAGTTTGGCCGAATTGTGAGCGTTCGGGACAGCGGTGTGGGAGATGTGCTACCGTCATATTGGGTATGTGATAGCTTGCCAATGTCGACGGTTTGTGTGCGCTCGTGGCGAGGTCTGTGACGAGGAGGAGAAGGTGTCGAGGGTGTCGGGGACGAAGGTGTGGATGATGTCGGGGCGGGAGCTTGAGCAAGCGGGCGAAGTGATTGTCGGGCCATAGAATAGAGGTTCTCGTCCTTCTTGTGGTCAAGATTCTCTCCTCCGAACGATACGTGGTGAAGACGGGAACCATCACTCTTGCCTCTCTTATGAGTGTATCCGCTGGAAACCGACGAAATCTGGGTGCTGGCTCGGCTGTTATCGGAGTATAGAGAGTACCCTGACGAGGCAACGGAGGAGGTTGTGGAGGACTGCCGATTGATGTTGCTGGGGTAGTCCAGAGTATGTGACTGTCTGAGAGGGTGTGGCCGGTACGACATGTTGGGCGATGAAATGATTAGGATACCGGAGGAAGCCTGCGCTGAAGAATCTGTGGGCTCAGGAATTCGGATGACAACATTGGGGCGCCTTTTTCGGACGTCGTATGGTATGCGATGAGTTGAATTATGTTCGACCTTTGGTCTCGGGTCCGGGTCGGGCGGACTATTGGTCTTCTCTCGGTTCTATGGTGCTTCGAAAAGGACCAAACAAGACGAGAGAGCAAAGTTGGAAATTCCGAAGCGACCTGCGGCGGCGCTTTGAGCGCGAGGAGGAGGAATGAAGTTCGGACTCGGCGCGCACTGCGCAAACAAAGAGAATAAGTCGACGGTTGATGGCGCTGCAAGGGCAACGTCGACAACGATGACGGGAAAGAAATATTGGCCTTGTTTGTCAAGGACGATTAATGATGGCAACCCACCAGCCACTACAATTGACAAGCGTGGTCGCAATCTCGTCAACGACCAAGTGTGGGTGGGATGTTGGGTCGTTTGAAGGTCGGGCAATGGTGGATGGAGGGGAGGAGGGGGAGGGCGACGGGACCTGATAAGGCAGTTTGTTTGTTTACTGCTGCAAGAGGTAAGCGGACTGCGGCAACCAGCCCCCTTGCAACCAGGGTGTGTCCAACACTGAGTGCCCAGTCAAAAAACGCCCAGAAATTCTGGTGGCTAGTCACTCGAGTGGCCCCTGCGTCGCACCCGCCCGGCTTTTTAAAGTGGAGACTTGTCGAGCGAATCTTCCGTTGCACGGCCCTCCGCCCCGCCTCCGCCCTCTGTCAATTGGCTTGTCGTCTGCTTTCTCTGGGCCTGGACTGGCGCTTCTGCGCAGGGCAGTCGCAAAGATGCCCAACATTGCAAGGACGATGTGGACGACGGGATCTACCAGAACGTGGTTCAGGCACGTCCCCGGGGGATCGTGGATGAGCACGCCTCCACCGATTCGACACATGTCATTGTCTGCCCCATTCTGCTCGGCGACACGTCGACCATCCTGGCCTGGGTGCTGTCGTCCAAGAAACCGATATTCAACCATCGATGGAAAATTGGGAGAGTTCTTCATTGCCAGGGCACAGCCTTGGGGCCAGGATAAGTGCTGGGCAACAGATCATGTGAAGGCCAGTTGTGCTATGTTTTTGACGGTTTCTCGAAGCTCTTCTCGTTTGCAATCGCTTCATTCACACAGCAAACAAGTTGAGATCGCTCAATGGGTACGGATACCTTACTATAGGTAGGCCAATCTATCTGGAAATCCTCTTCAAGGCCATGGAAGCAGGCATGCTCCGTTTGCAAGACTTTGCGACTTAGCAAATGGGATCAGGCGTTTCGAAACAGGGTGTTCTGGTCTTGATAGTCCATTCATAAACCAGTGGTTGTTTTTCTTTTCTTTGTTCCTTTTTTCGGTGTACTGGGTTCGACCAATCAGAGCTCAGCATGGTTGTCGTGCTCCGTCAGAGAGCGAAAGTTGCGGGAGACGGCGCTCGGCGTGCCATCTCTAGCACCCGATTAAATTGACACACAGACGTTGTGGCTCATGTCCGTATGACATGAGCCGAGAGAACCGATACTTGTGGCTGCTGCAACCAAAAGCCACATCTGTCTTTTTTCTCGTGTGCAGCCTACTACTGCACCGAGTGCCTCACCAGTTTCAACTAGACTCAGAGGAAAAGCAAAAGTAAAACTGGACGAGACCTGAGGATCGAAGCTCAACGCTGATGCTCTGGCTTTCCGCCCCTATCGACCGCATCGTGGTGACTGGGACAGCTCTTCAGTTCAAACAGACATGCTTGCTGCCCTTCGTGTCAGGCTCAGCCCAGCAGCTGCATTCAACCCGAGCAAGGGTTGTCCTGCATCTGTTGCTCTAGCCAACCAAAGACTCCAAACTTTGCAACGCGAGTCCCGAACAACAGAAGTTGTTTTCCCTTGTTGTCGTCCCCGAACCAAGAAGCTTTGCCCGCGTTGCCATGCTGCGTAAATAACCCTTCTTGCTTCATAATGGAAAGCCCCGTAGACTTCGTTTTCTTCTCCAAGGGTTGCTCCCAGACTTGCTTCATAGGGTCCAACGATTGCCGAGCTTAGCTAATCCACAGCTTTACTGTGCCTCTCTTAGGAGCACTGCTGAGACTCTTATCGATGCAACCCAAGACGCCAAACTCATCTAGGACGGGACGTACGCGCTGGTCCGCGTATCAACCGCGTCCCATAGCAGCTGCAATTTTTTGCATGCAACTTACAGGCGTGAACTGTAATGCGCATGCAGCTTCCCTAGCAAACATGCGGCCAGAGTCGGTGTTCAGGCCTCGGTCAGGCCATTCTTGGCACAGTGAAGCGGCCGTTGCATGAGTTGCGCCGCACTGTGGCTCCTCACCGCCTGCCCCTCCTGCCCCTCCATCCGCCGGTCGCGCACCGCGCAGGGTCCCAATCCCATTAAAAAATTTCCTGCGGGGTGTCGTCTCGAAACTTTTTCTCCTTCTTTCTTACGGGAAGAAGAGACCTATCTAACCTTAGTCTTCGAAATCGAGCTCAACTACTCTGTGTACTCTTTCGAAAGACTAGCAGTTCTTCAACTCCGTACTTTTCTTTTCTCCTCCATTATACCCCTTTGTTTTTCTTTGGAAGACGCTGAAAAAATGCCTTCCACCAACGGTATCAACGGCGCCAAGGTGCTGGACTCCAAGTCCGCCCTCCAGGTCCTCAAGGAGTACGAGAGCCGTGATGGCCTAGACATCAACGAGCTCATGGACACTAAGAAGCACGGTGGTCTGACCTACAACGACTTCCTGCTCCTTCCCGGCTACATTGGCTTCCCTGCCTCTGCCGTCACTCTGGACTCTCCCGTCACCAAGCGGGTCACCCTCAAGACCCCCTTCGTCTCCTCCCCTATGGACACCGTCACTGAGCACGAGATGGCCATTGCCATCGCTCTCCAGGGTGGTCTGGGAATCATCCACCACAACTGCTCCCCCGAGGCCCAGGCCGACATGGTCCGCAAGGTCAAGCGTTACGAGAACGGCTTCATCCTCGACCCCGTCGTCATCAGCCGCGACACCACCGTCGGCGAGGCGAAGGCTCTCAAGGAGAAGTGGGGTTTCGGTGGTTTCCCCGTTACTGGTCAGTATTTCCCTCGAAAATTTCTTCCTACCCCCAGCTCTACATGATTACAAACCTTTTCAATTATAACTTTCGTTCCACCAAAAGACGACCATGTCGTCATGCGGAGACACTTTACTATGATCCCAGCTTCTTCTACCAGAGAGAATGTGTCCACGTCTGTTAGCGAGCCATGGCTAATCACCGTGAACAGAGAACGGCAAGCTTGGCTCCAAGCTGCTCGGCATCGTCACCAACCGTGACATCCAGTTCGAGGAGGACTCCAACCAGTCTATCGCCAACGTCATGGTCACTGACCTGATCACCGCCCCCTCCGGTATCGACCTTGTCGAGGCCAACAAGATCCTCGCCAAGTCTAAGAAGGGCAAGCTGCCCATCGTCGACAAGGACTTCAACCTCGTCTCCATGATCTCCCGCTCCGACTTGAACAAGAACCAGCACTTCCCCCTGGCCTCCAAGCTGCCCGACAGCAAGCAGCTCCTATGTGGTGCTGCCATTGGCACTCGTCCCGAGGACAAGGAGCGTCTCCGCCTCCTCGTCGATGCCGGTCTCGACGTCGTCATCCTCGACTCCTCCCAGGGTAACTCCATGTACCAGGTTGATATGATCAAGTGGATCAAGAACGAGTTCCCCGGCGTCGACGTCATTGGCGGAAACGTCGTTACCCGCGAGCAGGCCGCTACCCTCATTGAGGCTGGTGTTGACGGCCTCCGTATCGGTATGGGCTCCGGCTCTGCCTGCATTACCCAGGAGGTCATGGCCGTCGGCCGGCCCCAGGCTGCTGCCGTCCACTCCGTCAGCAGCTTCGCTGCTCGCTTCGGCGTTCCCTGCATCGCCGACGGTGGTGTCCAGAACGTCGGCCACGTCGTCAAGGGTCTCTCCCTTGGTGCCTCCACCGTCATGATGGGCGGTCTCCTGGCCGGTACCACCGAGTCCCCCGGTACCTCCTTCGTCTCCCGCGAGGGTAAGCTCGTCAAGGCCTACCGTGGTATGGGTTCCATCGACGCCATGCAGGACAAGAAGGCCGGCAACGGCGGCAAGGACAGCCAAAAGAGCAACGCTGGCACTGCCCGCTACTTCTCCGAGGGCGACAGCGTCCTTGTTGCTCAGGGTGTCACTGGCTCCGTTGCTCACAGAGGGTGCGTTTCCTCTCCGTTTTGCTGTACTGACCATTATGCTGACCGCGCTGCAGACCTATCTCCAAGTTCATCCCCTACCTGGCTGCCGGTCTCAAGCACTCCATGCAGGACTGCGGTATCCAGTCTCTCAAGGAGCTCCGCGAGTCTGTTGACAACGGCATTCTCCGCTTCGAGCTGCGCACTGCCAGTGCCCAGATGGAGGGTAACGTGAACATGGAGTCTTACGAGAAGAAGCTGTTCGCCTGAGAAATGGCGAGCAACAGCTTGAAATGATGATGTGATGGGAATATATATGGAAAATGGTTGAGGCAAAAGTTATTGGGTATGGATGGGGAAAAAGGGATTTACTCAAGAAAATGCGCCTTTCCTCCCTCAAGGGTATATACGCGCTACATAAGGGAAGGGACGGAAGCAGACAGTCTTGCTTAGGGCGGCAGTGCTTAAAAAGTCTTCAGCGGAGTTTTTGGAGTCTTACGGGCAGGCTTGAAGTGCCACAGTAGAGATGAAGCGTATTGAATACCACATCCCCCACACGGGGGCACGAATGAAGAATTTTCAACGATTACGAACAATGGTCATGTCCAATTTTCTGCCTGTGATGCTGTCTGACGAGGGGTGCTCGGCGTGGTATCTCCATAACCGGGCGGTGGGTCTCCGCACCGAATGGGTACCGGCACGGAGCCGGTCGGTGACCAGGTTGAGCCCTCTTTTCCCTCTTATCTCAGCCGCTGTTCTAACTCTAAGATTCTCAGTTTCTCACAACAGGCTTCAAGTACACGTTGAGCGCGCCCTTGGCCCACAACACATAGATCATCTGTCTCTCCATCCAATCCTGGCTGTCGTCGGCGAGCACCAAGTCAAAGTTCCAAATCATCCTCGCCAGCATGATTCTCATCTCGACGTAGGCCAAGCTGGTCACGGTTAGCCTCTGGCTGGTCTCTTCCCTCCGAAAGATACCATGCAATGCTAAGGAGACGTGGAACAGCAGCGAACAAAGGATAGAGAGACTCACTTTCGTCCAAGGCAATTCCGAGGCCCCAGGTGGAACGGCTGCAACGCCTCTCTCTTGTCCGTCGCATACTCCGGGTCTCCCAAAAAGCGCTCCGGATGGAATTTGAACGGGTTCTTGAAGTTTCTCTCGTCGTGGTAGGTGGCCCACTGGTGAATCGCAACGATAGTCTGCGTAAGCTGGTCAGCGAACATCCAGCAGCAAACCTCCTTTTCATCTCGGCCACAATTCCTGATCGCTCGACCGCCGTCAACAACTCACATTCTCTGGGATGTACTGCCCGCAAACTGTCGCCCCGCCTTTGGGCACCTCCCTCGGCAGCCCCGTGGGTACTGGCGGATACATACGCAGCGCCTCGTCCAGGCAAGCCAGCATGTACGTCAACCTGTTCACCGATGTGAGGTCAATCTCCTCCTCGGACGCAAACATCGTCCGCACCTCCTCCACCAGCTTCTTCATCTTGTCCCGGTTCTTGAGCAGCAGGTATGTGACCCCGGCCAAGACCGTTGCCGTGGTCTCGGAGCCGGCGATGATGAGGATGCTGCTATTCGCCTCGAGCTCGTCTAGCGACATGTTCTATACGCTCTTCAACGATAAAGATGCCACTTGTTTGCTTGTAAGAAGTCAAGTAAGATAGAAGAAAACTCACCCACTCATCCTTCTTCTTCAACAAACCCTCCACCAAGTCCGATCTCGGCCCGCTCTTGCCTAGCTCGATCCGCCTCAGCACCTTCTGCATCGTCATCTCCCGCTGCTCCTCTCTCCGCCGGTGCATCGCCTCCGTCGACAGCGCCGCCGTGATGATTCTCCGCAGCCACGAGTAGTGGTTCGCCGTCTGGAACGCCACGCCCACCCGCACCATCTGGAACACGGTCCGCACCCACGGGTGATAGTCCGAATTGTCCAGACACCCGAATGGCTCCCCGAGCGCGAGGTCGCCAATGATGTCGAACGTGCAGTAATTATACCACAGCGTCAGGTTCACCGGCTCCTCATCCCCCTTCCTCACAAACGGCGTAGCCTCATGTATAGAAGCCGCCGACTGCCTCGCCGCCTGCTCCTTGAGCCGCTGTATGAAGAGGTCCACATACTTCATGATAACAGGCTGCTGCTCCCTCAGCGCGCGGTCGCTGAACCCATGCGCCATCTGCCGCCGCAGCGCAGCGTGCTGCGGCCCCAGCGCCGTGATGATGTCCCGGGGCAAGCCCGGGATCGGCCGGTAGAACGTGTCCGACTTCTCAAACGTGCCGGCGACGCCGCCCCCAGCGTTGGCCCCGACCTTGTGGCCGAAGATCACCTTCCAGGCGTCCGCGTCCGAGAACGCCAGCTCGTCCGGCGCGACGCGTACGACGGGGCCGTAGCGGCGGTGGAGGTCGAGCATGTCGAAGGAGATTGTGCCGCGGACGAGTCTGTAGCAGTACGCGGCACGGGTTGCGCGCATCAGGAGAGGTCCGGGGAAATGGCGGAGCGGGTGGAAGAAGATGTTGTAGACGACATAGGAGACGGTGTAGATGGACGTCTAATTTATGTGAGTTTCGGTCACAAAGATTCCGAGGACGTGACAATGAAGGCATCTCGAACGTTTACGGCGGGAGGCACTTACAGCAAGAAGGACGAGGCCGAAAGCCTGGAGCATCAGAGTGGTCACCGCCATGTTGTGTCAGTTGCGATTAATTCCAACACCATAGATACTACTGACGCTACACACCTACCACCTTTTCAAACAAGAGGTCTGGACTCGTCGTGGTATTCATACTTTTTTCTGCTTGTTAGCTTCAGGGGCAAAGCGGCCCACGTGTCGATGCCCCAGCTCCTTCATTTGCTCAAGGCATCCAGAAACTCTCATTGTCAGTCGTTCCGAACACGACAACCTCTACACAGCGTTACCCTGTCTCAATGACTCCTCATTCCCGCTAATCAGACCGACAAATTTCTCCACAAGACGACTAAATAAGCAATCTAGGCAACGCAAAAGCCAAAACGGGAAACCTCCCGCAAGCTGTCCTCCGCACCACAACATCAGACGGTAATCCGTAGCACGAACCTTCCCGCAGTCAAAGTCGTGAGGGGTGCGCCATGGGAAACTATACCCGCAAGCCAGACCATCCTGCGGTTCTCTGCCTGTACTGCCGCGCGTTTCATTGCAGGAACAGTCGACCACCCTCCCGGGCTCTCGCTGCTATCGGGCCCTGCCATCAGCCCGCGATACGAGCAGCGAATCGCATTCACACCCGAACGAAAACGAGCGCGTCGTGTTCTTCATAGTATATAGTCATGGTGTATACGAGCCCAGGCTGTCGGCGCCGAGTCGTTCAGTTGCCAACAGTTCTCAGAGGTCGGTGTAGCGCATGCTTTTCTGCCTTTGGATACTGGTGTGGATGGGTTTACTTGATTGCGGCGCAGTTGAGAAGCTGTGTTCGTCCAAACCTATCTTCGCCGATGCTCTGTATCTTTTATCGAGCTTGGCAAGATTATTGAAACATATCCGCAGGCATAAGTAACGGCCGGTGGCATGGCTCGCTTTGATCACCACGAAACATCAAAAAGTCTTTGAAGTAATGAAGGAAATTCCGAACTCAGCAAGCCATTGCATTAATGATCTGGAGAATTCCTAGAGAACATAATGATAACTAAGCGTCAGACGATGGCTGCGCAAAGAAGTAAAAGTCTGTCGTCCGTTCCCAATGCGTTGATTACCCCGTACATGCAGACAGCGCTGTCAACACGGCCTCATGACAAATAGTAAATTCGCCAGTCTTGATTCGTGAAGTCATGTTTAGCTCCTTCAGTAGTCCACAGGCTCTTGCTTGATAAATGGAATGTGTTCCCTGGCGGGGAGAGTTGGAAGCGGCCGCTGCAGTATGGTGCAGTTTGCTCCTGTGGCAAAACTGGGAATATCTCCCGCTTCTCTCATGACCTTGTCCTTAGACTCCTCTTCATCTGGTAAATTTCGGGCGTGTTGCTTCTTCTTGGTCTTCTTCGATTGCTTCAATGCGGCTTGTTTCTTTCGTTGCGTCTGAGGTTGACGGCGGCACGGCTGCTTTTCGGGCTGAGCATCGTCGTGCTTAGCTGAATACACTGATTCAATCTTGCTCTGTGCTCGTTGCATCTTGGACTTGACACTGCAGTAGCTTTGCCCGGTGGCCATGATAGTCTGTGACCCAGGCACGAGTGAGCAAGCCTGCCCCGGTCGAAGTACCGTGTCGGGATCTTGAACCAATTCGTTGAATGTGTTGCTGCTCTGGCGATTGTATTCGTAAGTTCGCCAATCTGGAGCATCATAAGCGCTCGAAGGATTTTGGCTCAACTTGAGTGAGAACTGTTTGGTGTGAGGAAGGGGGATGGACGGCATCCCGCCTTGCACCCAGATGGCAACCCAGCAGTTGTGCGATCTGATGGGGGCTTTGTTGGAGCGCAGACGGACCAGGTACTCAAATCGGATCGCCTTTCTAGTGCTCTTGCCGCCGCGGCGAGACGGCATCTTTGGACATTCGTCGAATCCGTGGGCTCGAGTGTTGCACAGGGGGCATGCATCGATGAAACCATGACCATCCACTGGTCCGATGCAATCGCAAACCTCGTGGCCAGGCCTGTCACAGTTACCACAGACAATCGCTAGCGGTACCGGAGCTGGCAGTTGCTTGCGTTGCGAATCTGTAAGAGCGAGGTTCTCTGGGTGACTTATCTCCACTTTTGGCAGAGCAAGTTCATGATGGGGACCCAGGCTTTGCTGCTTCCAAGAGGCAAGCTCCTGGCGGGCCTCGTCTAGCTCTGAGAGTGCTTTCAGGAGCTGTGCCTCGACATTCTCTTGCGGATTGGCCTGCAAAGACCTACCGAAAGGCTGAGAAGGCATGGACGTATTCTTGTCAGCACCGAGGTCCGTTCCCATCGCAACTGCTGGTGTGTGTCCAACTCCAGGCTGACTAGGAGTAAACTTCATCGAGGACCAGGTCGAAATGGCCCTGGCCAGGCTGCCTTCGTCTGCTCTGAGAGACTCCTTGGTGGATTGTCCAGCAATATGAGTGATTGAGAGGTTGGGAGGCAGTTCGGGGTCCTTCCAGGCATCATCAGGATCGGTAACGGAGACGAAATCCCCAGCTACAGATCCAATCGAGCAGCTGGAGCCAGCCTGGTCAGACACAACGCAGACAATATCATCGTAGACGGTGTCGATGGACCTGTCGCCCAAATGGCACCCCTCGGCTTGGAGACCCAAGCCTTTGATGAGAGTGCCACC